AAAAAGTTCGTATAGTTTTGCTCGAATGCCCCTTTTTAGGCTAAATTTCATTTTTAGTCCTATTGATTTAACGCCATAGCAATTTTAGTTCCAAGGTTCTAACGTTTTGCCTTTTGGTCCTATAATTTAATATTTTGCTGCCATTTCAGTCCTTTGAGGACAAAAATTACAACAAATTCCCAATTTATATCTATGGATTGGAATTGGAATTTTTATTAGCAACTTAAGTCCTGTAATTTAAAATTTTATTGCAACTTCAGTCTAGTAATTTAAAATTTGGTACTTTAAATTATAGGACCAAAAGATGAAAAGTTCGAACCTTTGTACTAAAATTGCTATGACGTTTAATCAAACAGGACTAAAAATGCATTTTTGCCCCTTTTTTTATAGTTTCGAAACACGGTTTGGTTCTTTCTCAGGTTCCACGTCCCTCGGTCATGGCTCAAGAACACGAAAAATTTATTGGTCGTGTTTGAAGAATTTGGAGGGAACCCGAGTGGGATCACTTTGGCAAAACGGGAAGTAGCCACGACGTGCACAGATATACACGAGTCGCAACCGAGCTTAGTAAATTGGCAAATCCAAGCATCGTTAGGAAACTTTCTGTATAACCAAACATTAACGGCTAATGCGCACCTCAATTGTGGCGAGGAAAAAAAGATTGCGTCGATCGAATTCGCAAGCTATGGAAATCCTCGTGGGATCTGTGGTAATTACTATGTAGGGAGTTGCCATTCGCCTAATTCTCGCCACATTGTGGAGAAGGTAATTAATATCCATGTATCTAAAGTTGTCCGTTTTTTTTTTTTTTTTATTTAATTTTTGTTTTGGTGCTAGTCGTAATGTTTGGTCTTGTCTTAAAGCTTTGCATTGGGAAGAAAAAATGCACGTTAGAAGTTATGGCAGCGAGCTTCGGAGGTGATCCGTGCCCGGGTGTGACGAAAAAGCTAGCTGTGGAGGCGACTTGCATGTGAAATAATGGAGGAAAATATCATAATTTTTTTTTTTTTTGGGTTGTCTTCTGGAAAAAGATTCATAGCACCATCAACATTCATCTATACAGATTTCTCTATGTAATTGTAATTGATCAAGAATTGGGATTAAGCACCTTAAGATGAATCTGTAATTTTTCATTTATCTGCATTGAATCTGCAATTTTTCATTTATCTGCAATTTCAGTTCTTCATAATTTGTTGTCAGGTTAATTTATTGATCAAATTGTCAAAGTTTGTGTATTCGAATGCGTGTTCAACTGTTCATAAGTGCTAGCTTTTCGTATTATTTACCCTTGAAATTGTAAAACAATATTTTGGATTATTCATGTTGTGTGGCAGTCCAAACTCAACCGCTCGACTCATTGGGAGCAGAAGCTTGTCTTGAGCTCTTCTAACCGCTTGCAGCCCCTTCTCGAGCTACCGACTATGCTGCTCGTTCACAGGCCACACGGACCGCTCACTTTCGGGCCCGGGCTGGTTCACTTGTTCTCTTAAAGGGCCCGTTTCACTCTCGATTACACCTAAACGCAAACACACAGTTAATGGTTGTTAATAACAACAATACTCGAGCTATTACGCAAAGTAAAATGCTCAGGAAAGGAAATGAAAGAAAAAAGGAACGAAAGACTCCCTTTGTCCGGCGACTGGAGAAGAGGGACACGAAGTCGTCTCTCCCGGCTCAAATCGTCCTTCTTTCCGGCACCCTCGGTAAGTCGCGGCTCGGTGGTAACCAAGACCGGCAGCCCCAGTTCCTCGGCCCGTTCCCCGGGCTGCACCTCACACACGAGCCACGCACCCGGTCTCCCCGTCACCTAAGCTCACGTCTCAAACAGAGACTCGCCTCCGGCGATTAGAGCTCGACGACGGTGGCGACGGCACTCCGACAGCACTCACGGCGACACTCACGGCGGCTCTCACAAGGGAAGTCACGAAGAGAACAGATTAGTGAGAGAGAGAGAGTGATCGGTTTTCTCACAGAGAGATGGGCGCAGCAGCTCAAGAGAGAGGAAAGTGAGAGTTAGGTTAGGGCAAATGTGAGGGAGGAGTATTTATGGTGTACAAAGGATGGCTGGGATTTAATCCCTAAATCCAACGGTCCAAAAGCATCCTGCCCTTTAAGTGTGGGAGAGGGCCAAGCCCAGTCGGGATTTGGGCCGAGATATCCTTGGGCCTGAGATAAGGATTTGGTTTTGGGCCAAATATCCTAACATTTCTCCACCGATTTGGCCCACCACCGAATACCGGACACCTTGAGGGACCGGAGGACTTTCATCATCGCCTTACAACACCTGCACTCAATCACCACAGTCAAAGTTCAATGTTCTCATGCATGACCTGAATTTTTCAACAGGCAAACACTTAGTTCCCATATCAGCAGGGTTAAACTCGGATGCATTTTTTTCAAGATTAACTAAGCCTTTAAAAACAATATCACGTATGAAATAAAATCTAACGTCTATATGCTTAGTTCGATCATGAAAAACAGAATTTTTACACAATTGAATCCCAGATTGGCTATCGGAAAACACAACAACATCTTTTTCAAGCAAGCCGATTTCACACAAGAGACCCTTTAACCAAACAGCCTCTTTCAAGGCTTCAGTAACAGCCACATATTCAGATTCGGTCGTAGACAAAGCAACAATATGTTGTAGTTGTGATTTCCAACTTACACAAGAACCACACAAAGTGAAGACATAGGAAGTTGTTGATTTTCTATTATCCCTATCATTAGCATAATTAGAATCAACATAGCCAACAAGTTTAACACCCTCAGAACACTTAGAAAATTTCAGACCAACATGCATAGAACAATTCAAGTAACGTAACAACCACTTAAGAGCTTCCCAATGAGGCATACCCGGATTAGACATGTACCTACTTAAACAACTAACAGCATAAGCAATATCCGGCCTAGTACTAACCATAAGGTACATCACCGAACCAATTGCATTTGAATAAGGCACATTTTTCATCAAATCAATTTCAGAATCGGTCTTGGGAGACTGATCCTTACTTAACACAAAATGGGCAGCAAGAGGGACATTCACGGACTTTGCGGACGACATAGAAAATTTACTCAAAATCTTCTCCACATAAGAAATTTGATTAAGAAAAATCACAGAGTTTTTCCTATCACGAATAATGTTTATTCCAAGAATCCTTTTAGCATCTCCAAGGTTTTTCATATCAAAATTATCACTAAGACATTTTTGAACATGCTCAATTGACTTAATGCAAGGACCGACCAGCAACATATCATCCACATAAATGAGCAGAAAAACAGGAACAACAGCATTTTCTTTAAAGTACAAGCAATGATCATATGAACTCCTTTTAAACTTTAAAGAAAGCATGAACATATCAAATTTCTTGTTCCATTGCCTAGGAGATTATTTCAAACCATACAAGGATTTCTTCAACAAACACACATAATCAGATTTCTTAGCATCCACAAGACGAAAGGTTGTTTCATATAAATTTTTTCATCCAATTCACCATGCAAGAAAGCAGTTTTAACATCCATTTGCTTCAATTCCCAATCAAAATGAGCAACTAATGCAAGCATGATACGCACAGTGGTGAATTTAACAACAGGAGAAAAAATCTCGGTATAATCAATACCCTCACGTTGAGTAAAGCCTTTTGCTACGAGTCTAGCCTTAAACCTAACAGAATCATTCTCTTGTTTAACCTTATACAACCATTTGCAATCCACTAAGGAACAATTATCAGGTTTAGGAACAAGAGACCAAGTATGATTCACATGCAACGAAGTAATTTCTTCACGCATAGCATTCATCCATTGCAAAGAATTCACAGATTTTAAGGCTTCCTCATAAGACTTAGGCTCACAATTATCAATTGACTCGAAAACACCAAAAGCATATGAAGTCATGTGAAAATCATCGAACTTAGAAGGTTTCTTACGTTCCCTCCTAGTCCTATCTCTAGCAAGTTGATAATCATGCAAATCAACATCATTTTCAGGCACGTTTTCCACATATTCATCATGCACATCGACATTTTCACCATTTTCAGTATGCTGATTTTCAGTTTCAGCAATAACAGGTTCATTTTCAGCAATTTCAGCAGGTAAATTGTCAAACACAGCACGTTCGGTTTCAGTTTCAGCATGCAAATTTTTAGAATTTTCGAAATCACTTAAACCACTCAATTGCTCCACCGCATTTGGAGCATTTTCAGATCATCAGGTAAAGGAGCAGGCAAAGAAGCATTTAAACATGGCATTTCAGATTCATTGAACACAACATCATGACTTATCACGACCTTAAAGCCGGGTAAACTTCTAAGCCACAATCTATAACCTTTAACACCTTCAGGATATCCTAAGAAAACACATTTCATTGATCGAGGTTCAAGTTTATCAAGTTTCGTATGACAAAATGCAGCACAACCGAAAACACGCAAGTTTGAAAAATCAATTTCCTTTCCAGACCAAATAAACTCAGGACACTTACCATTCAAAGGCACAGAAGGCGACCTATTTATCAAATAAGCAGCAGTTAAAACAGCCTCACCCCAAAACTTTTTTGAAAGACCCGAACTAGACAACATACACCTCACCCTTTCAAGTAAAGTTCTATTCATCCGCTCGGCAACACCGTTTTGTTGAGGGGTGTAAGGCACGGTTTTATGCCTTTGAATACCGGATTGAGCACATAATTCATCAAACAAATTATTGCAAAATTCAAGCCCATTATCAGTCCTAAGAATTTTTATCTTTTTACCGGTTTGGTTTTCAATCAAGGTTTTCCAAGTCTTAAACGTTTCAAACACATCAGACTTATTTTTCAAAAGGAACACAAAGACCTTTCTAGAAAAATTATCAATCACAGACAAGAAATACCTACTCCCACCATGTGTCGAAACACTAGCGGGACCCCAAACATCAGCATGCAAATATTCAAGAATTTCCGAACATATAGAGGTTTTAGGGGAAGGTGAAACAGGAAATTTAACACGTTGTTGCTTGCCAAACACACAAGAATCACAAAACGGCACACATGATAATTTATCTTTACCAAAACAGCCCGCTTTATGCAAAATTTCAAGACCACGACTACTCATATGACCTAAACGTCTATGCCAAATATCAGTTTGGTCCTCATGAACAACATTCACAGAAATTTCAGCATGTGATTCACAAGTAGCAGCACAAACATACAAGTTTTTCCTTTTTTCAGCTTTGAAAATAACCAATGAACCTTTTATGATTTTCATAACCCCTCTACCCCATTTACCCTCTAACCCGTCATCCTCAAGGACAGCACAAGATATCAAGTTATGGCACAAGTCGGGAACATGACGAACATTTTTCAAACAAAGCACATAACCGGAATCAAACTTAAGGCACACATCACCAATACCAACAACATCACAAAGTTTCTCATTTGCCATAGAAACAGAGCCATTTTTAACCTCTTTGTAGTTAGAAAACAAATTTCTAAATGGAGACATGTGAAAAGTGCAACCGGAATCAACTAGCCATTCATTTTCACACAAATAAGAATGCATAGAATTCACATCAGCGTGCATTTCACACATTTCAGTCACCACAAACACATCACCAAGATTATTACTACACGAGGCCACATTCGCTTGGTTCTTATTCGATTTAGTGCACTCTTTAGCATAATGCCCTGTGTCACCACAATTGTAACACTTACGATTTTTGGGACGAGATTTAGAACGACTTTTTCCCTTACCCTTTTTCTTTTCAGGTTGGTTACCATTATTATTAGAGGGCTTTTGCTTTTGAAATCAATTTTGTTGCCTCCCTCTAACAAAATGAACCTCACCCGAATTTCTACTCCCTTTATGAGCTTTTAAATCTAACTCTTTACTTTTTAACCCATTCACAACAGTTTCAAGCGTCACATTGTCCCTACCATACTTAATAGCAGACTTGACATCACTGTAAGAATCAGGAATAGCATTTAAAAGCACAATAGGAG